CGGGCACCGGTGCGGGAGCGGCGCAGCCTTTAGCCCGGGTGTCGAAACGGGGCGGTGAAGCACCCCTGCAGCAAGAGATACGGGAGGTGGGGAGGGGCGGGAGGAAAATGGCCCTGAAGCGTGTTTCCCCTTTCACAAATAAACGTAGTTTTTTTGCGCTTCTATCATTGGAAATAAGATGGCTTGCCAGTATGCGTCGGGTGATACTGGGAAATTTTGTTTCCAGCAATACTTTAAAGTTGAACATTAAATTACTAAGTTTGTATGCAGATTTTTTTTTGCTTATTTCAGAAGATACCTTCTTCAGGATAATGTTGGTACATCTTTAGAGTTAAAGCAGTATGTTCTGGATTTTTTTCCTGCCCTACACGGTAAGGCTGGACACAAGCCAGTATAGGAGGCACGGGTCACGGGATACAGAGATCATGAACTGGCCCCGGATGCTGAGGAAACAGCCGTGACGAGGCTAGTACTCTGCTGTTTGTGAGGGACTCGGTGAACTCCTTCCAGTGCGGAACGGAGAGGGACAGTTAGGAGGAAATAAGGGTCTCGGCTTTCATGTGTAAGATCATGTCATCTAGTAGTGGATAGGGGAGGGAGAGGATGAGATAGTTGTGAGATGGTACAGCAGTTAAAATATGAGATTTTGGTTTAGCGTAGTTTCATTGGGGTTTTTTCCCACTGCAAAGTTTTCCTTTGGTTAGATGCTTCCACCATTGGCAGGGATGTAATTTGTGGGATGCAATTGATGATTGGCAAAGTAAATGCTTCATACGTCCAGGTGCTGTTTCTTACTGGTATAGCAGGCAAAGTGATGGTGGCTGATGTTCTGTAGCTTAGGTATATGCAAACTTTTTCTGGACGATTGTGCTGAGCATAGCTGATGCTGCCTATCTTGGGAGAACAAGGGATGTAATCAGAATAGTAAAGTACGGTGAAACCTGTTGCAGTGAGTGTGCTTGAGGGAGAAGTTTATCTTTTGTTACTGATACCTTGCTAATACAGGAGACTAATTAAAATGAAACGGTAGCATACCAAACTTTCTACTAAGGAAATGCCCATTTTTGCTACCTTACTGTGTATGATTAGATTCAAAAGCCATGAAGTAGGCTGCAGTTCTCTGTATGCTTAGTAGTGTTTCAGTTGTTCTGACCTTTGGTAAAGAGAGAAGCCCCGAAGGAAACAGAGTGATTGGTAATAGAAGCTTGTTAGCAGTATATCTTGCTCCTCTCTTTAAATGTTTCAGAACTCTAGTCTTTTTTCCATTGTATTTCTTGCTAACAATTTTAGGTGGATATTAAGAAAGAACTTCAGTGCAGAATAGTGTTTCTTTAATCACAAGAATCTAGATGCTTGAGAAAAAAGTCTTTCCTTTGCCAAAATCCTGTGCCTACCCAGTATACTTTAAGGAGTCCTTTAATTCATGGCAGATTTTGATTGCAACAGCAAGCGTTGATTGCAACAGCAAATGCAAGATCAACTGCTATATTTGTCTCACTTAACTCTTGTCAGAGAAGGGAAGGTGCTTTCCTCCCTGTTCTTTGCTCTGTTGCCCGAGGTAACTTTGGACTCTGCGTTTCGCACCTGGGAGGAGTTTGGGAACACAGGGAAAGAAAGACAGGAAATAATGTACCTCTGTGACTGCTTGTGCTACCAGTTCATGTACTGTGAGCACAGCTGAGGCTTTCTTTAAGAAATACTGTATCCAGCAATTCAGTGTATTAAGAGATCATAAAGAACTTCAGAGAGCAAATCAAGGTCTTACCTCTGCTTGGAAATAGTTAGGAATTTCTTAGCTATAGAATTTGTTTTAGTTCGACCTCTTCTTGTTATTACTAGACTTAACATGTAGTTATGGGACATGTATTAACTAAAACATGTAGTAAAATGTGGAGATGAGCCTGTTGGTCAGTTTTCTTCCCCCCTCACTTATATGTTACAAAACGATGAATAATGGTTGGACTCCAATGCGAAAAAAGCTTATTTCTCAAAGCTTTTTTTGCAAAGAATGGTTGTCATGATCAAAGAAATGCTTGTATGGTAAAATTATATTCAATACTCTCATTTCCATTTTTACGTAACTTGGAGTGTTTTGCACTGTGATTGGAGACCAAGCATCAGCGGATAGTCAAGAGGTACAGAACAGTCCTAATGCACTGTTGGTGTAGTGTGAGTCTATGAAGTGCAGTTGGGAAGATCTTGCAAATATAAGATAAATAACCAGAACTTTTACTTCTTACTAGATCTCTGTAGGATAAATGCAGGACTTATTCCTGGACTATTAGTTTCGTTACATGTGTGAATGTGGAGTTCCTAAAAAAATCCGAATAGCAAAAGGGTGATTGTATGCCTGCTGATAAGCAGGTACCTTAAGGAGATTGTGGTTGGAAATTGAAACCTAAAGCAGTATCTGTGGGCAGTGTTAAATTGATAAAGAACTGATTACTCTAGGCACTACAATAGTTATATACTGTACTGTGGAATAATGACATGTTTGTATTTATATGAAGACAACTAGATACTTTAGTAAAATAATTTTTTGTAGAAATTAACTTTTACATAAAAATAAATTACTTCGTGTTCCCCTAAAGTTTGGCTTTTGGTGTAATTGCAGATTTTAAATGGGGTGGCTAAACTAACCTTAGTGATTTATGTTTGATTTTCACCCTCCCCCTCTTTTTGTCATCAGTATGTTTATTACCTTTAACTGGCCTTGGCAATGCAGTTGCAGTCAAGACATCTATTATCTTACTGTTCTTTTGAAACAGCTGGTTTTTAGTACAGTTAGGAGTTTGTAAAATTATTTTGGGAGCTATGAGCAGAATAAAGTTCTTAATTGGGAAGAACTCGTGAAAAGTTGCTTTTTTTTCCTGGTGCGTGGAAAGCCTGAAAAATATCAGCCATACTGTCTTTTATTGTTATTTTTCTATTAGCTGATATTTGGAATTTTTTTTACAGTGGACCAACTACATTCATGGGTGGCAGGATCGATGGGTAGTTCTGAAAAGCAACACACTCAGTTATTACAAGTCTGAAGATGAAACGGAGTATGGCTGCAGAGGCTCAATCTGTCTGAGCAAGGCTGTGATCACAGTAAGTGATGTTTCATCATTGCCATCTTTTCATGTTTTGGGGTGTTATGTATTTGTAGGCTAATGTCTGGTGAAAGCAAGCATGGATATGGTAAATTCTATTAGGTCATCTGTTATGAAAGTTAGTGGTGTCAGTGGAACACTGTGGAGCAGGGCAAGGAGCTCCTAACAAGAAAACAAGCTGTTCTCATTTGTAGCTGCAGTACATGTTAGAGGTTTCTCTGTGTAGGGGAATGGTTTACCTCTGGAGGAGGCTGCAAAGGTTTTTCCAAGGGTCGGCCTAAGATCCTGGACCGACTTCCTAAAGGAGGTACCATCTGTCACAGTCTTTACACTTTGTGCTAGAGAGAGAGGGTAGTAGTTCTTTAACTGATAATGACTCTGTAGAACATTTCCAAAATAAAATATTCTGCTATGTGCTTCTTCCTCTGAAGAAGTTAGTGTGTTGCTTTTTTTGTCTAATGCTAAAAGATCTATTATTGCACTGATAAGAATAGAGCCTACTTATAAATGAAATCTCATGAAGATGAACTGGCCTTAGAAGATAAAGAAGAAAAAATTCTGCTTTTTATGGCTTTAAGAATTATGCTATATATTAATTATGACTAATGCTTGCTAAAAAATGTAGCTATTCTGTGTTACTGTTTAAATAGCCCAGTTATGTGATTTGGGGAAAAAATAGCTGGGCTTCTGTGTAGCACACAAGTTCCTAGAGTAGCGCTGTTAAATCTTACTGCTTATAGTCTTACTCCACTAAGTGTGTTTTTTTCAAACTAAATTAAGGATGACAAATTAGAAGTTTTCTTTCTTACTAATGTTCAGCTTACAAATAGAATTTTATTAAACATCTTAATTTGAAAAAAGACTGGATTGATTATATCAACTGTATGCATTCTGGAAAAAAGCTTGTGAAGAAAAAGCAGGTTTTTACATTTAGATGTCTGACAGGTATTTCAGTCATCTAAAAATTGAAACAGATCACCTCATTATTTTAAAACTTGCTCAAAATTTTATTTAGGAATATATGGTGCACAACAACAGTCTGTAGGAATTCTGACTGAAATGTACTTTTGGCAGTGTATTGTAGTACTACCCTCTGATCAGGACTTTCAAAAAGGTCTCAGTTTCACTAGCAAGAGGCTTAATGTGCCCACCAGGCAGAGACAGGAAGGTGGTGGCAGGGAGGTAGGCTGAGGGATGTCTGTCTGGAAGTGTGCTGTAGAACACATTTCAGCAGCCTGAATTCCAGTTGTGGTGGCAGAGTTGAGAAATTGTAGTGATGCTGCTATTGCTACTGTAATGTTTTGGTATATTGCACTTTGTGAAGGGAAGTTGGAGAGCTTGTCTTCTGACTAGGAAGTGGGTAACAATGCAGCTTCTTAGATAGCTTTTTTCCTCTTCTGTCTGGCACTTCTTATGTCTGGTAACTTGGAGTTGAACCATTGCTTTTTTCCAGTTCTTGAGTTTCTTCAGTACACTGAGAAAGAAACTACAGAGTTGGAGAAGGAATAAAAAGTGGGCCCAATTCTAAAAGTTAATCTGATATTTTAGTTCTTCCATTTTCATTCATGCTCATGCTTTAAGTGGTATTTGACAGTGTAATTTGCTTGATTGTGGTTTGAGATGGCATCTCTAAAACCCAGTAAACTCCTGTTAATTATTTCTAGCTGCAGTTAGTGATTGTTGTATAAGTATTAGGAATTTGAGAATGGTATTGGGTCATTTAATGTCTCTAGGGTAGAGAAATTTACTTTTGAAACTGTCATGCAATTAGTCTATCTCTTATTTTTTCAGAAGTTACTCTTCTAAGTCAGAGTTTTAGCATTAATGCTTCTTGTGGGTAGTTGTTTGGTAGTAAACTGAGTATTTTTTGTTTAAACCTGTTTTCAATAGAAAGTTCATTACACTCAAAGATAAATGTTTAAAATAGCCTTCCTGAGATGCATTGTTAATCTTCAGCTTCATGTCCTTTTAATGTCTTACTAACTGTAAGCTTACTAGCATGTATTTAAGTGTGTAGGGTAACACTAATAGCTGATAAAATCAATGTTGGGATGATAATGTGTGAAAACTACTTTTGCTGTCAGTGAAATGTACTCTGTACTGTATGTCTTATGCTTTGATAGAGAGGGTAAGTCAGGTTTTGTACTGCCTTAATGTTCAGTAGCACTGGTTTGGTGTAGTTGGGATCTTAATCCTGAGTATTTTTCAGCAGTCTTTCACTATACTGGAAGTTCAGTTTTCTTTGATCTTGCTGATCCAGTGTCAGGCATAGTAACTATTCATCTCCTGACCTAGTGTATTTCAGTAAGTTTTCCTACTGTACAAAGCAGGACCTGAGTGGTATGAGATGGTGTTGATGGCCATAATGTTTCCTTGTAGGAAAGAGAGATTGGATGAAAGAGTGATTGGATTTTCATTAAGCTTTCTTTTAGGTACTCAGATTAGGCATGGATGTTCAGATTCAGTGGGGAATGTAATGATTTTCCGTGTGTAATTAATCCTACTAGTAGTATAGAATGTCCACATTTTGTTAATGTATAAGCATAAATTTGGAAAGCTGCTGTCAGAGTAGTCTCACTGTGCTTTCAGTGATGAAGATCAGCGTAATGGTAAGTCGTAGTATTAACTGAGATGTAAATGTTGTATTCGGAAAGCCTCAGTCGCTGCTGCTCTTGCTTTATCATTCCTATCACATTGGACAGAGACTGATAGATAATTCTACAGGGATCTTGTAGAAGACATTTGTCTCTCCCCTCTCTAAATGAGGAAGGCTTGTTGAATTAGCTGTTGAAATATCCGAAGAACCTATTTTAAGTGTAGAATTATAATGTCATCCCTTCAGAACAGGTAGGTTCCTGTGACATTAGTTTTTAAAGGAGTGAAAAAGTGGGCTCTAGTTGGACTACTTGCTATGTCAACCACTGGGACAAAAGAGCTGATTTTTCTGGAGTAGAGAACTAAAGGATGAATATTTATTGTATGCTCACTGGATTAAATGAAGTAATGAACTGCCAAGAACTGGCCATGTGAATTAAGTTATGGGGGAGGACAATGAAAGTCAATACATGATGCTGACTTGGGTTTAGCCAGGTAAGGAAAAACACCTCGAAGATGTTTCATTGGTTTATAACAGAGTGGAGGCTTGAATTCAAGTTAAAAGTTCTGCTATGTGGTCAAGGGATGAGAAGAAATTGTGGGTCTCAAAGTTCATATATGCACAGATTGAAACTTTATTATGTTAATCTAGGCTGGATGTACTAAATGAATGCTGTAGTTAGTTGTCAAAGCCAGATGGCGTTTGTTAAAGATAACCTTCATTACTGTAAAGTTCTGTAGTTCGTTGATTCCTAAAGTCAAACTCTCAATAGGAACTTCCTTGTACAGGATTAGGAGTGGATGTTGATGGCAGTCCTGTAGTGGTGGCTCTGTGGTACTCACCTTTGGAGTTGGAAGGTCTAGAGTCTGTCACTAAAAGAACAAACAGAAATGCTTTGTAGAGCTGGAAGTCCAACTTCAGGCAAACTGACCCTTCAGCTTGGGCTGTCTTTGCATTGATCATTGTGTCTGTTCTCATAGAGCCATCACCGCTTTTGTACAGAGTGACTTGCACTAACTCATTTAGTCACAGCGTGATGTATCAAGAATAACATGGTATGCATGGAATAACTTGAGCTGGAAGGGAACTCTCGGTCATCAGCTGTGCCCCCCCTGCTTCAGGCAGTCTCACAGAAAGGCCAGCACTAATTTAATCCTGATGGTAATTTATATTAATAGATTTTCAAACCTCTTTACAAATTCTTAACAACAAAGTGTCTGCCTCATGAGTTCTAGGGTTTTTCCAGAAGGGTTTTGTCTGGTCAGGATGGCTGTTCAGCATGGATCCATATGGAGGATGTTGAAAAATGCTTAGAGAAATGCCGTGTTTGATAAATTTGAAGAATACTTAAACTCAGTCATGTGTGAACTTTGTTGTTGCTAGATGTGACTACCTATACAGGAGGAGTTCCAAAAGCTTGTGTTGCAACTGAACCTTCAGCTTTTATTCAGATAGGATTCATGCTTTCCATGGCGTTTTAATCCAATGGATGATCTTCATCTTTCTGTATGTATTACTGATGTAGAAACACATCTTGATTTCCAATTTGGTAGCTTAAACAAGGTGTAATAACTGTGATGCAGTGATTTTGTTTGGTTCTGGTTGTACTGTGCTGAGGCATACTTGTGTTAAAATTCAGTTGAAACATGCTACTGGTGGTTGTGTCTTCTTTTTAGAACACTTTGTTGCATTGTAAAGAGATGTTTAGACAGTTCTGTGGAGATGCCTGGACTAGGAGTGAACAATAAATTCAGTTTACATAATGGAGATATTTGCAGTAAAGTAGTAGGGTTTTTTCCAGACACAGTAATCGGAAAGCACTGTTGCTTAATGAAGGCAGTAATGTTTTATATTAATATACAAATTGCATGCTATTCCCCTTCAGAATGGACTTCTGAAAGAGTGAATTTCTTGAGTATCTATTGTGAGTATCTGGAGCTCAGGACAGGCAAGAAGGTAGGTAACTGAATTCTGCCTGAGAGAGACTGCTTAGTGAATTTTCTGAGCTTTTTTCCTAAATAACAATAAATCACTGTGGTGAAGAACTGAATAAGTATGCATGTTATAAATCAGGGCTGGTATAAACATGTGGAGGACCCTGGGAGCTACCGACCTGTCAGCCTTGCCTCTGTGCCTCGGAAGATTATGGAACAGATCCTCCTAGTAGCTATTCTAAAGCACATTGAAGACAGGGAGGTGATTTGAGACAGCCAGCCTGGCTTCACCAAGGGCAAGTCCTACCTGACCAACGCAGTGGCCTTCTATGGTGGCGTGACTACATCAGTGGACAAGGGAAAAGCTGCAGATGCTGTCTGTCTGGACTTCTGTGAGGCCTTTGTCATGGTCCACCACAACATGCTTCTCTGAATTGGAGAGATGTGGATATGGAGCTGTGGACTGTT